AGCAACACTTTATTCTAGCTTTCATTAGTTTTAGCAATTTTAGACTTGATAGCAACTTGAATCAACTCATTTGGTAACTTGTAAGCACCTAAATAACTTCATTAATAACTTGGTTAAGCTCTTAGGGAAGAATGACCTAAGTTTCTTCCTAGACTATATTAGGGTTAATTTAGTATTGAGTATTGATTTTGAAAGAGAGGCGACACTTTTGTCATTGGGCATCCTGAAGTCTTCTTCTAAGAGCACTAGGCACCATAAAATCTTGTTCAAATAAAATTTAATCAATATTGTTAAAATAATATTTTAATATTTAATAATTTAAATATTATTATTCATAAATATTCATTCAAAATTTATAAATTATTTTTTTAAATATTAACAACTCAAACTAGTTTTCCAAAAAATCATAGATGACTTGTAATTTTTTATAGGAAAAATTAATCTTTTAATCCTTTAACTTTTAACTCACTTGTAACTCAGTCTCTCAACTATGACTCACTGTGACTCAATCCTTCAACTATAACTCGTTGCAACTTAGTCTCTTAATTTTTGATTCACTTATAATTGGGTCCTTATTTTTTAATTTTTTTTAAAAAATTTCTTATCAAATAAGGAGGATAAAAAAATACTCATATATTATTCTAAAATACCATCTTCTTGCTTATTGATGTTAGATATAAGCTAACATGAAAAAAATTAACAAAAGTTCAGGAACTAATTTGTAAATGGTTCAAAAGTTAAGGGACTAAGTCATAGGCGAGTCATAATTGAGAGACTGAGTCACAGCGAGTCATAGTTGAAGGACTGAGTTACAAGTAAATTAAAAGTTGGAGGACTAAAAGATCAATTTTTTCTTTGTTATATATCGATCATATTTTTAATATTGATTAAATTTTTTAAATTTTTTAGATCATTCTCTATAATTTTTTTGGTTAACTAACATTTATAAAAATATTACACTACCCAAATTTGATAGTTTACAACTTTGTATTAAAAATAGAGGGAATGAACCTTCAAATTAATGGAGGAATTTTTTTCCCTCACTTCTCCATTATTCTATTTTTAAGTAGCTCTTTTTATAACTCATTAATAAAATAAGTGATATTTTTCAAATAAATATTTTTGTTGACATGTTGGTCCTGGTCTATCATGTTTCTTATTCACCCTTAACACTACCATGTACAAAGAATATTAAATTTTGGTTATGCAATATTTTGGAGAAAAACCATTGGTTGACAAAAAAAAATTACAAAGAATGACTTAAAAAAAATTTAAGGAACTTAATCAATATTAAAAATATTATCGATATATAAAAATTACAAGTCATTTACAAATTTTGAAAAGCTAGTTTGAGTGATCAATATTTAAAAAATAATTTATAAATTTTAGATGAATATTTATAAATAACAATAAAGGCTTGTGCACACATAGCCCATATCACAAAACCAAATAAAAGAAATAGCCTATCATTTCCTAAATTTTAAAAGTAAACTTTTTAATATTTTAGTTGATATATAATTTACAAAATTACCTTTTAAAATTATAACACTCTGCTTTTTACAAATACCAAAATAGACTCAAAACATGAGAAATCAAACGAACGAGAGAGACAAACATGAGCTACAGTCACAACAAAAGAAACAAGTAGATCAAACTCGAAGATGAAAGAAAGCAGAGTAGTGTAAGCAAGGCACAATCACAATGGCAAGAGACATCGACTGAACGAAGCACACCAACGGGGAAACAAAGCTACAAAATTTTTTACAGACTATGTTTGATCCATTTTGGACAAATGATTATGTGATTTTCATATTACTAATCTGTGATATTACATCATTGATATATAAATGAATAAGTTTATGTTTGATTGTTTGGTTATATTGAACTACAATCAGTGATATATATTGTATATCACTTATATATAAGCCATATCAATAAAAACTTACTAACACTATTTTATTTTATAGATATGGAGATGCTTAATCTTATCATTTTTTATGATGTAAAATGGGATTCGAACAATCATTATGTGGGTGGTTCATACCTTGAAGTACTTGAGGAAAATTTTTGCTTCACGCATTCACTAATGATAAGGTTTATTGCTTGCCTATCATCACCATGCACGACATTAATGGCATAATTATGATCCCTAACATCCCATCTAATAACCTAAACCTAAGTAGAAGAAATCGTTGAGGCCCTCACATACCATTTACAATCATTAACACTGCAAGCAACAGCAAGCCTTTGACCATTTGATTTGAGAATTTTATATTTAAAATTCCTTTTCATAGCTAAGAGTTGCAAAACTTTTTGAACATTCAATTTGCTAAAAAACACATCTCCCTCCTTAATATCGTCCATTTGCAAAAGCTCATTAGCTCAACTACGATGCTTACTATTGGTAAACATAGAAGAACATGAAGTTAAGGAACTAGCTCCTTCATAACAAGGTTCAAACACTTCTTGTATGAACAAAGGTCCATGGAAATAGAGACAATCAATGAAAAGTTAAAGAAATTAGAATTTCTCAATGAATTAAAAGACCATATTAAATCATTGTTATTCTTGACCTCTAAAATGCTATATGTTGAAGTCCTAATATCAAAAGAAACTATCAATTTGACCTCATAAGTCATGACTTACATTCAACCACAATTTCTTGTACACAATTTTCATGACATTAAGATATGAAGTTGTATCTTCCACAGGCACTTCAAGGTATGAACCATCCACATAATGATTGTTTAGATTTCATTTTCCATTATAAGAAATGATAAGGTTAGGCATCCTCATATCTACAAGATTAAATAGTGTTTATAAGTTATCACTGATATGGTTTATCAATGATATACAATATATACAATAGTACATCACTAATATACTATCATAAATTAGGAACACAAAAACAATATAATTATTTGCTCAAAACATATCAAACTAGGTCCACAAAAAATTCTAGACACCTTAGCTTCATAGAAAATCAAATACCTAAAATATGAAATAAAAAATCATGAACTACGAAAGAACAATATGTATTTTTTGTTAGTAATTCAAACAAATTTCATGATCAATGACAACAAATAAAATATTATAAACAAATGATTTATTGATTCAATGAAGATATTACCTAGATAAATGAAGACAATAAAAATTTGATGATAAATAATACTCTTCAACTCTCAAAAAATAGAATACAGGACGACTTCAATTCGAATCCTAAACTATGCAATGCAAAATGCATAATCTGATAATGAAGTTTAGTCTCCAATGTCATATCTCATCTTCGTAATATACCTGGGAAAAATAGAGAGGAAGAAAGAAAAACAGCATTGGCATATGAGAATTCCCTCCTCTGTAATGAAAGAACGATTTTGAATGCACGATTCAATTAGTTAAAAATTAATCATAACATATATATTGTGTTTTAATAATATATTTATTCTAAAGATAAAAAAATCACATCTAATTGATTTTGTGAATAAATCATATTTTAAAATATTTAAAAATCCTATCCATAATTTATGAAAACTGTATTTTTTGAGACCATTGAGTTAATTTACTCATAATAATATTTAAATTATTAAATAATAAAATATTTAATATTTTAAAAATATTTATTAAATTTTATTTTAACAATACTTCAAAATGTCCAATGCATGTGGAAAAAGAGTTCAAAAATAAATTAATATTAAAGGATATAATTATATTTTTACCTGTCACTATGCGCAAGCCTCATGTAGGCATGCCATGTCAATAGTAAACAACAAAGTTAATGGTTAAATAATAGAAGATTTTTTTACTCATTGCAAAAATGATTTAGAAAAAAATTATTCCACTTATCAACATAAAATGCTCAATACTTCTCGAGGGATAAAAATAAACCTTTCTATTATTTATGTCTTTATTTTTTTATCCATTATATTTCCTTCTTTTCCAACCACCAAACAGACCGTATTATTTTTACCACCAACTTCAATTTTTTTATTTTTATTTTTTAAAAATTTAACAAAGACCATGAAATTATCCCATCAAATGCATTGCATTATATTCATCAGCCAAATGATGGAAAAATAATGCTTTTGGCGACTATTCTCTATACCAAAAGCTAGAAATCAGGATGCAACTGGAATGGAATGGAGAAGGCAGCAGAAATCATCATTTCTTTTGCATCAAACGAGGCATACAAGAAAGAAACCTTGCTTCTTCGATTTAATCGATGTTCTTTTCGATGAAAATTATTTTGACAAAATAATTGCGATGATGATACGAAAATACCTCCGATCACGGAATACAAAAGTCATTGCTTTCTCACCTTGAGTTGTTAAAACAGTGAATGAATAATGGTAGTTAATGTGTGTGTGTGTGTGGATCCAAAGGGGGACAAGAGAAGACGACGATAAAAGAAGAAAAGTGAACCTTGGTGCCTTTTTTTTTTTTTTTATTTATTTTTTGTCAATTAAAAGAAGACGCAATTACCAGTGATAATATTAACTATCAGACGCTCATATCCATGTTAACAAAAAGAGAAAAACGTAACTCTTCAAAGATTGGTCCCTTTTTATCTTCTTTTCCGCATAGTGGGGTGTGAGTAAAAGAAAGAGTTTGTATTATAAGTTTTTTTTTTTTTGAAATATCATATTTAAAAATATAAGATATTTTGGATTTTTTAAGATAAATTAAAAAGGTTTTTTTCAAAAAGGTCCCTAATTAGCTAGGTGTGTAATTAATAATTTTTTAATTAAGATATCATATTAAATAAGTATAAATATATAAAAAAACCGTAATGGAAGGGGTAAAACAATAGAATAACACGGCATGGGAGTTTCTATTATATATACAAAGTTGCTTGTATGAAGTCTTTCACACATATATAACAATTAAAACACGGTTAAGACTTAAGAGTAAAATGACACTTGAATCCTCATCATGCCTAATTAAATACTGAGCCTAATTTCACTACTTTCTTACATTGACATCGATCAATACACTTAAAAGTTTAGAAAGATGATGATGGATGCAAGGTTTGTTGTTGCTTTCATGGTGCTTTTGGCTCATACATCTTCTATGGCTTTTGCAGCTGGCAACACTTCTGTGAGGTGCAAAGAGAGTGAGAGACTCACACTTGTTGCTTTCAAACATGGCTTTGTAGATCACGAAGGCAACCTCTCCTCTTGGGGTAATGCTGAGAACCAGACTGAATGCTGCGATTGGGAAGGTGTTCACTGTGACCAAACCGGTCATGTGCATGAACTTGTTCTTTCTTCTTACAATTTGGAAGGTACAATCATTTCATCAAGATTGATTGAATTACATCATTTGAGATCGTTGGATCTCAGTGAAAATCATTTCAATCTGACTCAATTCCCAAGCTTCACTTTTTCTCTAAAGAAATTGGAACATCTGGACCTCTCTCTCCTAAATTTGAATGGACAAATTCCATACCAACTGGGAGATTTGTCCCACCTCCGACAATTATACCTATATGGCAACCAGCTCGAAGGTAGCGTACCCAAATCCTTGGCTTTATACAGTTTAGAGGAGTTGGTTCTAAGCCACAATTTCTTGACTCAAATGGATGACTTTGTTGCATCATTTGGCCACTGTGCTAACAAATCATTGCGATATTTACATTTATCTAATAACCGATTTTGACAGCCACAACCAAATTTTTCACAAATCTCATCACTGCAAGTGTAAGATTTATCTAATAACCAATTTCCAGGGCCACTACCAAATTTTTCTCAGATCTCGTCAATACAATATGTGGATGTGTCCCACAATCGACTCAATGGAACTCTGAATGATGACATTGGACTTCTTTCATACTTAGGATACTTAGACATTGGATATAATTCTATGGGAGGTGTTGTATCTGAAACCCATTTCTTGAGACTCTCTAGACTATATCATTTGGACTTTTCTTTCAATCATTTGGTTTTTAAAATCGATCCTCATTGGATTCCCCCTTTTCAAGCATGCTACATTGCATTAGCATCTTGTGAGTTGGGTCCTAGCTTTCCAATGTGGCTCAAACCCAAAAATCATGCGATGAAATAAATATGTCAATGGCTGGGATTTCAGGTACAATTCCAAATTGGTTTTGGGATTTGTCATTTAGAAGGTTGGACCTTTCACATAATCAAATTTCTAGAGTTTCTGGTGAAATTTCATATTTTTCAAGACAAAGACATGTTTATATGGAGCTTAGTTCAAACTTAATTCAAGTCTTAACTCCTTCATTTTTATCAAATTTCCTTGGAGCTTTGGATTTGTCCTACAATAAAATTACAGATGCTAGCTCTTTCTTATGCCCAAACACTACCACAAGTATTAGTCTTATAAATCTCTCAAATAATCAATTATCCGGTGTCCTTCCAGATTGTTGGATTTACTTTGATTCACTGATCTTTCTTAGTGTTGCAAACAATAGCATCTCTGGAAAAATTCCAGCATCAATAGGCTCCTTAAAACAAATCCAAGCATTGCATTTAAGTCACAATAGATTTGTAGGTGAAATACCTTCGGCCTTGAATAAATGCATCGAGCTGAGAACACTCGATGTTGCTCATAATGCACTTACTGGATTAATTCCTACTTGGATTGGTGGGCTTACAAGTTACGCGTCCTTATTATGAGATCCAATAAGTTCATTGGCAGGTTGCCTTCCAATATCTGTCATCTTTCTCAACTTCAAATCTTTGACATCTCCAACAATAATATCTCTGGAAGTTTACCAAAATGTCTCAACCATCTTTCTGCTTTGGCTAACGACACAAGCTTTGATGCAATTACAATCTATGATGATTATGCATTCTTGAGCGTGTTTGGTACATTCCATCAACGACATATATCTATAGCAAATGATAGTGCATCATTAGTGTGGAAAGGAAAGGAGTCCGTATACCAAAACATATTGGGATTGGTAAAAAGTATTGATCTCTCTAGCAACATGCTAATTGGAGAAATTCCGAGTGGAGTGATGGGTCTTGTGGGATTGGTTTCCTTAAACCTTTCGAGAAATATGATCGAAGGACATATCCCAGCAACCATTGGAAAATTGAAGTCATTGGACTTTCTTGATCTATCAAGGAACCACTTGTCTGGAAGCATTCCTTCAGAACTTTCACAAATAGATCGGCTCAGTGTGATGAATTTGTCATACAACAATTTGTCAGGAGAAATCCCAATTGGCACTCAGCTGCAAAGCTTTGATCCCTCTAGTTATGCAGGAAATGCAGGACTTTGTGGTGATCCTCTCCCAAAATGTCCCACAAAGTCAAGAGAAGATGATCAAACTGTTAAAAGTTTTGAAGAAGATAAACCATTCTTTGATGGAGGCTTTTTCATTAGCTTGTCAATCGGCTTTATCACAGGATTTTGGGGAGTTTGCTTAATATTTATGAACAAATCATTAAGGTATGCCTACTTTAGATTCATGAGTGGCGTATATGACAAAGTGTATGTGCTAGTTGCTATAAACATGGCTAGATTGCGCAGGTCAAATCGAGCTTCAACTTGAAGGTAATTAGCACAAGCCCTTGTTTTCTCGTGTTTATCTCGTTATGCAAGTGAACTGATGAATAACTACGATCTTTGGAAAGTAATGCCCCTTTTACAGAAGTTAACTTGGTACAAAAACTAGATTTTTCTTACTTTATTGTAAAAATGGATTAATGTAATTTTTATTTTTAGAACATATATCAAACAAAACTTTTGAAAAGTAAGTAGTACATGCTTAAAGTTAATGTACATTATAATAAAATTAACGTATGGTTTCTTTATAAAAAAAATTAACTTATGGTTTTCTTGTAACGAAGATTTATTGAAGGAAAAAATCCTTTGAATGGTAAAGCTTTAACTTCTTGAATTTATTAAACTTAAAATCAAACAAGCACTTAATTTTCTGAATTTAAATTTGATGCTTATTATTGATTTTCCCAGGACTTACCCTGGCGGCGGAGCTGCAGCACAAGGTTGACTGATGTACTTCTCTGATGATGCAGATCATGTACTAGAAATTTGGCACTTGCTTTTATGATCACCAAAGTATTTTTTAATTTGTTTCATTTTCTTGTCTTGTGTCAGGAATTTTTCATGGGTCTGTCCAGGTTTTGTGTTTTAAGTGTTTTTCGCCCATGATATCGACTTTTTGTAACCACGTTTTCCTTCATCATCCTTATAAATGGAAGTTATCAAAAAGACAGAGACGAAGTCAAGATTTAATTATGAGGAGGTCCAGATTGAAAAATAAAACACATATAACAGGGTAGGAAAACAAATTGACCTCTAAATTATAAGCTCAAAAGCATTTAAAATTTTAAACTCTTTTTTTAGTAAAATTTTCTTTCAACTTTTAAAAATAGTGTAATATATTTCCTACCGTTAATAAAAATTAATTTTAATTGTTAGTTGGTCAAAAAATAACATAAAAAAGATGTCAAGAATTAAAAAAAAAGGATCAATAAACTTTTGTTAATCCTTTTCTATAATTATTAGGTCTTTGTCAGTGATTTTATTTTGTCTTTTTCTATAAATTTTTAAATTTTTTTATTATTTTTTAGTTAACTAATAGATAAAATTCACTTTCATTAACGACAATTATTAAATTGGATTGTTTTTAAAAATTAAAAAAGAAATAATTTAAAATCTCATACTTTTCTAAATCTATATTTTAAGAGTTAATTTGCCTTCTTATCTGGTACATATAGAAAGAAAGTGTAAACTTTTACAAATAAAAAAAATATAAATTCATATATAATTTAAAGAAAAAAATTGAGAAACTTTAAAAGCCACGGCATCCACAATATTGTCATTTATAGGGGGAGAAAAAGGGACCCACCACGCGACCATAAAAACTTCAATGCAAATTTATAGGAAATATGAAAGGAGGAACAAATTTTCATTATGAGCTTATAAAAATTAGGTAATTAAAGAATGATAATTTTACTAAAATTGACAGATCCTTGTTCATGTGTCTACAAAATTGATAATGGCACAATTAGGAGTGTTTAAGGTTGTACCTATCCTAGTTGGCGATACTTGTCTTGATCCTAGCCTGCAAAAAACCTAGATAGGACATTTGTGTAGTAGGACAGAAGAGGCCGGGATGGGACAAGGCTTGGGATGCCCTTAAAGACGTCCTATCTTGTCCCGTCCCAATATATATATATATATATATATGTTTCCTTTTACTTTCTCTCTCTCTCTCTATATTAATTATTATGTTATTTTTATTGTTTATTTGTTAATGTTTTCTATTTATTTTCAATATTTTTAATTTTGCATCACTCTGTGATACTCAGTTTGGCCAAGCAAGTTGTAAGATGTTTTCTCATAATTATTAATATTGATTTGAGAAATAAAAAATGTAAATTTAAATTGCTGTCACTCAAGTAATCTAATGAGTTTATTTTTCAAGTCTATACATGATTGGTGTTGCTTATTATAATCTAAATTTATAATAGGCTCTAACCAAATAGCCTGCGCATGCAGAAGGGCTCTCGTGTTTGGGTGACCTTTTTTTCTGCCTAAAGGGAAAAGCTATCATATATTAGAAAACTGAATCAGAAACAAGAAGCCACCATCATTCGCAACACAAAGAATAGAAAACTAGAAGGGGAAAAAAACAGAACCAAAGCCAAAAAAAAAAGGTCCAAAGGAATAAAAACAAACAGATTCCTAGCTTTAAACATGAAATCGGCTAGGATATTTGCTAGGGAAGAAAGGTGTTGAAACACCCACTCTTTCGAGCACTTGTCTCGAAGAATAGCTTGAGCACACCAAAACATAGCTACAATTTGAAGTATTAGAATCTACTCATAGCAATTAGAGCCAAGAGTTTTGTCAAGATTAGAAGAATCCACTAGAGCAAAGCAAATCCCTCTAGAACAAAATATAGCATTGAACGCAACTTGCCCCAATGAAAAACAACTACACTCCTCCATAGTCCTTGAAAACCTTTCCACAAAGTCAAAATTGAGTCACTTATTTTCAGGGGGAACCCACCTCAAATTTTCCTTAATCATGCAACCAAGAATACTAAGTGGACCAACAAAAATACTAGTAAGATTGCTTTAAATCAGACTATCAACAACGCCCCAATTTAAAAGACCAATTGAAGATATACTGATAACTATCATTTGTTCATATAATTTTTATATTATTTTTCCGAGCTTTTGACACTTTTTAGGGGTATTTTATGCACATTAGAAGCATTCAAGATCATTTGTTACTTTTGTGATGTCCATAATATTTAGGCAAAAGTGAAATTTTTGAAAGTTTAAGGGCAAAACTATAATTTTTGAAAAATAGAAAAATCCATCATTTGCTAATTTTTATTTTTGCATTAATCTCATGAGTGTAATTTGAGTTAATTCAACTTTTTGAAAAATGGAAAAATCTATCATTTGCTAATTTTTATTTTTGCATTAATCTCATGAGTTTAATTTGAGTTAATTCAACTTAGATTATAAGTTATTCACTAAAATATCCTTTAAAGTACACATTTTGTACTTTAATTGCACTTTCCATAAACTTTGAAAGCATACTAGGTTTAGTTTTTTATAATCAAGAACTCCTAAAAAACTTCTCATAGCTAAATTTATCTTCTAATCTTCCATTTAATCACTTCACTATGTTTTTATAATTTACACCTAAGTTGGATAAATTCATAAAACACATAATTATTTATACACAACTTGCTATTCAATGAGTTCATTATGTGTTTTAGGCCACGAGAAGCTCTTGGATGATAAAATTGGAGCCCTTGAATGAGCTATTTTGATGATCAAAAGGTCACAAATGGTCGATGAAATCTCAAGAAAGCACAAGGATAGTCATGACAATTCTATATATCTTCCAAAATTAACTCCTTTTTTTCTTATTTTTGCTATATATTTTTCCATCATCTCCATCATGTTATTTTTGAATTTCTCTATCCATTTTCAGATTATTAGATGCCTTTCATTTTCATTTACTACCATTTAAATAATTCATTTTCAAAATTCATGGCCATACATAAAATATCATGTGAAAGAACCCTTGGATGCACATAAGGCTCATATCACTTTAGGGCACTTGGTAGGCATGATTCCTAACCATTAAATTGATCTAAATTAGCCTCAAACACCCCTAAAACATCATAATTTTTTCTCCACATCAACAGCCCCCTTCTTCACATTTTTCACTCATCTTCCACCTCCATTCATCTTCATCTTCTCTCACAAGAATGTCCATGAATCTTAAAACCTCTTCCACCACTTCTCCACCTTAGACCCCTCCATTTCACCATCCAAATACACCAAAATTCTCCCCTAACACTCTACATTAAAACTCACTAAAAAAATTAATCCTCCACTCTATTTCCATCTTGGCCAAATCTCAAGGTCTTCATCCATGGTCCTTTTCAAAGTTGGTCAACAAGGATAAACTATGGGAATGCTAATGAGGCATGGCTAGGCTTGTTTTCTCTTCTAGGATGCATGGATGAACTCTCTTTGAGCTCTTAGATTTTGAAAGTTTCTCTTATCTTGTAGGTCTCATTTAATTCCTTGAATTTTGATGTTTAGGACACTATAGTGGAAATGATTGTTGGTATTGAATTTTATGATACTTGGTTGAGTATTATATGAGGTTATCATATTTTTTATTTTCTAATTGAGGTGCTGCCATAGTAATTTCAGTGCTGTCCAAATCTTTATTTTTTTCAATCTCTTATTGCATTTAATTTCTAATTGCTTTTTGTGAGCTTATGAGTCACGATTGTACATTAAGCACACTTGGGATTGGCTAATCATTTTCTTAATTAATTTGAGGTCTCATTTGGTTAAGGCAAGGGCTAAAATTAAAAATTAGCTTCATAATCAATTGGTCATTTTTAAGCATAATTAGTTTTAAGGGTTAATTTAAATCCTAGTTAATCTAAAGAGCTTAAGAGTGCTAAATTCTTAGTAGTTGTTAAGATGACTTTAAAATCAATTGTGGTTAAGAAAAAATTAATTAGATAGAGCAAGGATAAGAGAGGGAGTTCATGTGCCTAAGAAGATCATCAATTTACATTTTAACCACACATTTTAACCATTTTCCAAATCTGTCCAAAATCATGAAAATACGAAAAAGAAAGTTTTCATTTAATACTTGCTTCTTTAGTTCGTAATCAATCAAACACAACTAAATTATTACTGTTCTTGGTAGATTTAAGTAACTAAGGTGTTAATTTCTAATCAACTCTGCAAGAAATTCAATCTAAGTTGTTCACTATACACATTAAGGTGTTTCTTAGTTTAATTTGGGTGCTTAAGTTATCAGTGTATATCACATACTAATGTGTAAAAACAAGCCCCAAGTATAAAACCACCATAAACAGATATACCAAGCCAAAGGAAGGTAATCCATGAAAACAAAAATCTTCCTCCAAATAAAATCCAATAACCACACCAAGCGAGTAAAAACCCACCCTCCTCCAAAAAACCAAATTAAAACTCACAACAAAGAATGATTCAAAACTCCCATCCAGATTAAAAATGCATTTCCAGATTACATGCGCAAATGTTGACAAAAAATGGAAACAAAGAACTCATACCACATAGAAACAAGGTCGCAACTTTGAGGGAACTGCATCATTGATCTATGTAGAGTAAATCCCTAGTCCTCCAACCCAAACGACCCTTGTCTCATTCTCTCTACTATTCCCATAAATCCAATATTCTAAAGCCCCAACACAGATTTGTGCAATACTAAATCTGGTGGCACCCATTCAAGATCATCAACCCTATCATTGCCTTTACAGAACCTCCATAGTTTCTTTGTGTTGAATCCAATCTAATCGAAAAGACCATTCCAAGTATGGCGTCCACTCATCATAACCAAAATGCATATCCTAATTTTCTAATTGTAACATCCCAAAAAATTAACTCAAGATTAATTAAGTTAATCAAGGGCAAATGAATACTTTTAAAAAAGTATTTAGAGATAAATAATTATAGTTAGGGGATTATTGTTGAATTTAATTTAGAGTAAATTCAAATTCTAAGTTATGATGTTTTTAGATAATAAAAATAGTAACAACAATATTATTAAAAAAAGAAAAGAAATATAAAAATTAAAAAAAATGAATGAAGGGTGGGGGGATGGAAATTTCCGTGTGTGTGTTTGGTGTATATAATAATAATAATGTGGGATTCACATTACTTTATTTCACACCCAC